GCAGCTTTTACAGAGGACACTGCAGAGAATAGAAGAAACCAAAATCTAAGTGCCGGTCATGAGGATGTTCTACTGTAAGCGCCTGATAACAGCAAAAACAGGCTGCACACCAACATGTCACTGAAGTCTATCAGCGGTATTCAAGCCAAAAACCTGCAGAAACAAAGTGTCGGACGCAATGGGAGATGCGCTATTCTTAGAGGCATGCTGGGTAAATTCTGTCGGTCCCACCACAGGAAATGGTTTTGACCCGAGGAAACATTTTCCCTCCAAACAGGGACTGATCAGCCGAGGAGGATCTTGGCTCAGTGACAACCACCACATCCAGACATTTTAAAAGAATGTCTCCATCTTTGATCCACAGAGTGCAGCTCTAGAGGAATCCATCCCAAATGTTTCTGTTCTGGCAGACCGTGTCAAGGAAGTGACATCGAGATTAATTTGAACAGCAGCAATGCAGTGGTCCCCTCCTCTCTGACTCAGCGTGTATCACTACAAAGCTGGGGGCATGTCCCTTGTGTATAAATATGACTGCACACATACACAATCTTTCTTTTTCAAAAAAAAACAAACCGCAATGGAGGATTTTTAAAAATGCCAACCACAACAAGTACAATGAACTGATTCATATAGAAGAAGAGCAAACAGAGGGCTGAGCAGCATGTGTTCTTACCCACGACCATCAGGGTGAACTCAAAGCCCCTCTTGACGGACTTCCTGTACACTTGGTTGGGGAGGCTTGCAAAGCCAACATATCCTTCCAGATTCTTTTGCTGCTGTAAGACAGTAAAAAAAGAAAATCACACACATTAAATCCACAAAAAAAATCTTGCACCAATGCTTTACATGTAGGTGTAAAAACAAAAAGAAGTTTCAATCGCTACTCCCACGCTGCCAAAACTGAAATATACTCCCAGTCTTCTAACCACCTGAACCCTAATGTTCCTCTCCAGCAAATTCTAAGTAGGACAAACATAGTTTCCAATTCTGTTTGACAACTCTGCTTATTCCAGTTTTCATTGAAGATATATAACAAAGAGTAAAATATTCAAATCCAAGATGCGACCATTAAATCAAAAGGGAAATATTCAAGATGTTTTGAGCATGTTTGTGTTGTAATGAAGTAGGACACCGCGCTTAACGACACTGGTTGTACAGAATGATTTAAAGTAGAGAGATAATTTCAATACTTACTGTTTGCACTGCTGTTTTGTGTAGATCAACATCATGTTTTCCCAATGTGCAGGAAAGGCCAGCGTTTCCAGGGTCACAGAGCAAAGGGAGAGAGAGCACAAAAACAAACAAAAAAAGCAACAGAGAATCAATCACAGGCCATCTGACAAACAAGCCAATCTGTCTCCAGAATCAGTTTCCCAAGCTGAGAGAAGCTGGAGGCAAAATGATTCACGATCCTGGCTACTGTAACAACACAAGACAGTTGGCCAGTGTGGGACATATTCCACTCTACTTGCTCCTTTAATGTCAGCAGCACCATTAAAGCAAGGCTTTTTCTTTGAGCCTGTGGCAAGGAGAAGATTTCTGCCTCTTACTCTGGAGCATCTGCCTGCCAACCCACATGTCTTCTGTGAGACACGATGACTTCATATGCAGATCTGCCTCCAGGATGTGCAGTTTAATCTCAGCAGCATCCTACTGCTACAGTGTGTGACTCATTATATACTGGGTTCTGCAACCATTTTTATTTTTAATCACAGCTGGGGGGTTTTTAATCTAAAAAAGGAAATTGTGAGAACTGTCAATTTAAAAATGACATCTGTCAGTTTCCTTTCTGGCAATGTCTGACAGGGAGAGGATGATTTGTTAGAGATATTAAAAGTGTTTGAGTTTGTAGTTTTTAGTGTGGAGGAATCACTAAGTACAGTATACAGTACAAGTCAAACACTAACTCTGAGGTACTAGATCCACTTTAATCCAGATTAGATGGCAGCCGTGCTCTCCTTATGCCTAACCGAGACACATCTTCCATATTTGTTTGCCTAACCTAGATGCTTCAATCATGGTAGTTTAAGCAAGTTATTGATCTCACACACACACACACACACACACACACACAATGCAGCCCAATCTAGGGCACACAAACGCCAGAAAGTGGTCGTTAAGAAGCATTTTGAAAAGGCCAAATGCACTGCTAACTATAATAACTATCTTCTGTATAATGTGGGACTATTTGACGTTAAAATACAGAGACATTACAGCATCACAAGCCATAGTTAGTTAGCATTTACGTGAGCTGAGTAATCCAACATTCGACACCAAGTTAGCTAGTTAAATCTAATTGCTAGTAATTGCAGACAAGCTTTAAAAAAAACCAACAATAATAGATGTCACCCTAAGACGTGTCTTAACGTGTCTTCTCATGTTCGCTGTTAACACAAACAGAAACGATTAGTGGAATATTTTTGCTCGAGGCAGGAAATGACTCTCCAGTTAGGTTTGTGCAGCCTAGCTAACGAAGCTAACGACTAGCTTGTTAGCTTGCTAGCTTGCAACCAATCCAACTGGAGGCGGACGACTGGGCGTTGGTTGCTCAGACAACTGCAGAAGCTAAAATAGCGGCACGGCCAAATTATAAAAAAAATTAAAGAAGTAAATACAATCCAACACAAATTATCACAGTTTGAGTTTACACAGAGGGATTGCAGAATAAATGGATACTAGTCTCACCCATAACGTTGACGCTCCCTGCCGCCTCTAAAAACCCGATCATTCACAAGCCGACATTCCCCTTCTCGCTGATTTTGCCCGAGCTACGCAGCATGAGGCACGCAGCGCTTAACGCGCTCAACGGAGCTACGCCGTAAAGCTAACGTAACTTCTACGTGAATCACAAAGGGAGGAACACTCCAGTCTCGCGAGAACTTACGTATTTTCCCTTTGAGTATTGATGCGTTCTCGCGATACTTGCAAAATACTTTTCTTATTACACATTCCATCCTGTCACTACACTAATACCGTTTAATTTCATTATGATTAGTTAATGATGGGGCGGATTTTTCCAAGTAGCATCACTTAAATAATTCAATTCAAGATTCCATTACTTGGCTTTTGCTAAATAAATGCTTTATTACCAATAAGGTTAAGTAAACATCAACATTTTACACAATATAAATCCAACAAATATGTTCTTCCACATTCTAAGACATTGAAAACATTTTTTTTGCAATTATGAACCATAATCGTGTACACTTTCATTTTACCATTTAATACATTTTAAAGACTTGAATGAGTGATTATATATTGTGTGAAACTAATCATAATATGAAAAATGGAGTATAAAAATGTCATAATACATTTTGAACATCTATAACACTGCATGAATTGTAAATGTATTGATTGTATATGGTCAATTTACCTACATAAATGCAAAATAACAAAAGTTAGTTACCCCCAATTACACTGGATTTGTATGTGAATCTAAAGATAATATTGGGACTCTTAAACTTATAACAACTTTAAAAAGTAATAATAAGAATGATGTATGTATTTTTCTTAATATAATTTTATATTACTGAAGTATATTTGTCCCAATCCTTTTTTAAATTATTTAAATATTATTGTTTCTCTTTCATTGTGTTGAGTAGCCTACATGTTTGCAACGTTTGTATATTTGAATGTTTTTTCAACACTACTTATTTGGTGATATGTCGCCATTTTATATTATATCACAAATGTATATAAGTGCGACTTTAAGCTGCTCGTGTCCAGTTGTTCAACGACATTCCGGTGACGGAGTAGCGTCTGTTGTAGCCATGCAACCGGGACTCTCTTGTACCGCTCACCCGGATTGGTTAAATAATGTAGTGAAACTGAACATTGTTTTTACCTATTTGCTAACGTAAGGGGCGTCTGCTGTTGCAAGAATAAAACAATTAAGTCGCCTTTTATCGCCGGCTAAGGATATTTAAATAAGAAAAAATCGTATTTAATTCAGAACCAAGCTGCTGGTTTGCGGTGCTGAAGGAGTGGTAAGAGACCTTTGACTTGTCCTCTTAAAACTGCCAAACAAGGATCAGTTCAACCGCTTCCTGCAGACAAATGCAGGCTAAATAGTCGAGCTAGCCCTCTTATCACAGAGGCTATCTGTGGTGGAGGAAGTAGACTGCTGTGTACTCTGTTACAAGTACTCCTACTTAAAGTAGGCAGTATTTGCATACAGATACTCTAGCAAAATAGCCCAATTCAGCTGAAGAAAAACGAAAAGGATAAAACAAGTAAGCTACTGCAAAGGTCAAGAATATTAAATATGTAAGATATCTGTTTTGACAATGTAAAGAGCTGTGGGCACTACATTGTTAAAAACAAAAACGTTGGAATATGCAAAATATTGACCAATATTATTACATCATGTGTTGGTTCACTCAAATTACAAAACAAACACATTTTCCTACTCATGTCTGGTGGCGTGGAGCTGTGCAGATAGTTTTAGTTTTATTTAAGTAGTTATTAAGTAGTGAAAGTGGTAATATACAGTGTAGAAATACTCTGTTACAAATGAATGTGCCGCATTTAAAAATGTATTGTAAAAGTACAAAAGTATTAGTGTCAAAACATAATTAAAGTTTCAAAATTAAAAGTAATCATTATGCAGAATGGTCCATTTTGGAATAATATATTAAATGCTACTGTATATATATATATATATAGATATTGCAGCTTGTAAAGGTGGCGCTCATTTGAATAACTTTATATACCGCTGGGTAGCTTACACAATTTTATTACTTGATTTATATTTTGTATTAATAATCTAAATCTGCAAAGTAACTTAAGTTGTCAAATAAATGTCGTAAAAAAGTGCAATATTTGCCTCCAAAATGTAGCGGAGTAGAAGTAGAAAGTAGCATAAAATGGAAAGTACAAGTACCTCAAAGTTGTTTTTAAGTAGTGTACTTGATTAAATGTACTTAATTACATTTCACCACTGTCTAAATGTCTCTTTGTGTCCACAGGTCACTCATGGAAACAAAGGGGGGCCGCTGAAAATGTCCAATCCAGTTAAAAAAGGGAGACAAGGAGAAAAACTGCCCCTGAAATCCAAAGGAATCCAAAGCAAGTAAGCCGGGCGATCTCCTCCTCCCAGTCATTTAAAAGTCTGTTACATCATTTAAGATGAATTTTCTTAATATGACAAAATCAAATCACCTGATGAAGCCTGTTTTTTTAGGGGATCTCATGATCTCAGGAGGCTTCAGTCTCTGCTTGCCAAAAGCATTCCCAGACAAGAGGTGAGCAACAACAAGTGCCTCCACACTGAGGCAGTGGGGTCCAGACACTTTGATAACAAAACCAGCTCATATGTCTTCAGGTCCATGTGGTTGTTGTAGTACGAGACTCCCTGTGTTGCAGGTGGCAGCGTTGAGTCACAGTAAAGCACGCAGCAGAGGAGCCAGCAGACCTCAAGGCCTGCATCCTCCTAAAGACACTAACAGACAGAGGAGTGAGAGCGACGTCGCCAGTGAGGCCTCGGAACTGGAAAAATTCAGGTTTTCATTCAATTATCTGTCATTTGCGGCTTCTTAAGACCACAAAACACACAATGAATTGGCTGCAAGAGCTCAATTTCAGCCTGTTCTTAAAACAAAAACATCCTTTTTCATGCACTCGTCAATTTTGAGATGTTGGGGCTGTTCTTCCATAACGTGTTTTCTTACAGAGTAGTGTAAAGAAAAACATCAAAATTACACATTTCAGTGTTATTTTACTACTTTGTCTATTTGCGTCTGTAGATTTCTTTTAAATTCACCGAAAGGTACCCTTAGATAATACCTCACCTCGTCTTAATGTAAGTAATCAACCGGGTAAGTTGATATCTTCACCTGTAGTGTCTTCAAAATGTATGTCATTTTACATTACATATTTTTAAAAGCTGTTTTCTCGAAATTAGTTTTTTTTCTCATATTAAGAGTCAGAAATCTCCACTTCACATACGTGAAAGTTTGCAGCTTCATACCTATCTATATTCTGGATATCTTTACTGAGGAATGTGTTCATATATCTACTATACATGCTTCACTGTGATATATACATATAGTAAACAAGATTATGAATCAGCTTTTCATTCTTGATTCACACAGATCCAGACACAGGTCGTTCTGGTATCCAGCCCTGCATATGAACAGAACATGGTGGTGTAGAAAACATAGTCGAGAGTGAAGAAAATAATGAACTACTTCACAATGCATTGTGAAGTTGTCACACTCAATAGTTTTGAAGGATAGAAGTACATGAGTTAATGAACAGTGTTTTCTGTGGCTTAACATTCATTATGAGACTTCCTCTAACAATCAGTCTGTACAGTTGTGGACCTAATTATATACGTTCATCTTCACAGCATCACATACAGAGACCAAAGATGCTTCAGCAGCCACCCGATGCATAAACTCTTCTCTGACATTCTTGCATCTTTGGTCAAGAACAGACTCTGCAGGTAAAATATCTTCAAAATACTGCAGCATTCTTCTCGTCTCCCAAAAAAAGGTTTACTGACGATGTTTACTCCTTCTTTAGTGAATGGATTGATCATGCGCTGCCCGAGTCTGTCCTCAGAGTTCTGATCTGCTTACGATTATTGCTCAGAGATCCCCACCATCAGGTACAACTTGAAAATAAAGAGTTTATTTGGTATCGCATGAATATTTTCTGTACTGTATGAAAACAATAATGCCCCTTTCAAATGCTTTCTTTTAGAAAATCCTCCATCAGCTCCGAGGCATTCATTTACTTGCCAGGGTAACTGCTCTCCAAGACGTTTCTCACTGTGTTTTTTTAGATTTATCCTCATAAATGTCCTGTCGTCCTCATCGCTGCTCCGTGTCTCTTTCAGTATATGGAGCGTGTCACTGCCGCGTATGCATCTTGCGGCGAACAGGCGTTTGCTGTGCAGAAGCTGGTCACAATGACCTGTGAGTAATCTGAGGGGCAGTATGGAGACACATGATAATATGAGCGTTGTGTACGTCCTCAACGCTGCCTCCGCTGATTGCTCTGCAGACATGTTTCAGAAGCTGTCTGCTGTCGAGGGTCAAAGGGTCTGGGTCATCGAGAGCGGCGCTCACATGGTGAGTGATAAGTCGAGATGAGGTTATCTGTGATTATGTTGTCATATCATATTCACGACTGAGATAATAAACTTCATGCTGCAATAGTCATTCCTGTTGGTGCACTGGAACTGGCCACTCACTACTTATTGTATATTTAATGTATTTATGTAGGCTCTACAACAGGGTCGTAATATATTTTTTGATTAGAATTTATTTATAGAATAATTTGTAATTTTTTAAAATTACAAATTGAGAATACACAGATTGCCATGCAATTATTTGCAGCTTCCAGAGTGCAAATATTTGCAAATATTTAGTCTCAGTTGTCAAATGAAGCAATGGAAACCGATATGGAGAGTGATAGCAAATCTTTTACTCTCTCTTTGTGAGATATATGGATATATTAAGTCATGCTTGTATATGATAAAAAATAACATGGTAACAATAATAATAACTTTATTTATATAGCACCTTTAAAAACAGAGATTACAAAGTGCTTTGACAGACAAAGCAGCCAAAGCAAGACATCAATAACAATAACAGAAAGCTCAACAGTGAGGCCCAACAAAGATCAAACTAAAGACTTAAACTCTGATAAAACAGTACAATAGATGAAACAATCAATACGATATAAAATAAACCAAGAAATATAATAAATAACTTAGTAAAATAAAATATAATATAAAGCAGTAAAGCGACAACATCACATAAAAGCCGGTCTGTAAAGATGGGTTTTAAGAAGTGATTTAAAAGAGATTACTGATTCCTTATCTCCTTATCTCCTCAGGCAGGTCGTGGTAGTCAGTGAGTGTCTTTGCTCTCGGTTTATAATCTCAAATTCTTCTATATTTAATGGCTTTGTGGAGAAAAAGTCAAGTCTTTCATTTAGTAAACCATTTCTAGACGCTGGTGAAGCTCCTCTCCACAACAGAAAGCAGTGTGCTGCTGGGAGCCCTGCTGGCAATCACCACTTTGGCTGAGAGGTAAGCAAACGTGTCATTTAATGCATTAAATACACTTTAAGATTTCATCTGCTGTAAGACATTTTCTTCTGCAGCCCAGAATGCAAGCAGGAGATTGGCCAGCTGCCCATAGTGGAGAATCTACTTGTAATACTGCAGGAATATGACCTGCTGTCAAAGAGGTTAGACACAACATTTCAACAAAGCAGTGATTTTGAGTTGTTGGAACTTTCCTTCCTTCATGAGTTGCTGATAAAATAAAAGCTGAACAAACAAATCAACAAAGTTGCTACATCTCGTCTCAGCTTATCTCACGTTGTCTTATCTGACAGTAAACAAAGACACGTAGCTTTTGCTGTTGTAGGAATTTAACATATGACCCTTTGTACACCAAATGATAAACTAATAATCTTAATATCCACAATTTAAGTGAGCAAGCAAGTAAGCAATACAAAGTAATCTAAAACAACATAAAACCTTGGAAACAAGCAAGGCTACACTGAGCCTGATGTTTTCCTCCAGGATGAGTGCGGAGCTGCTGAGGCTCCTGTCCCCGGTGAGCCAGGTGAGGGACCAGGTGAGGGAGCTGGAGGGTCTGCCCGTGCTGCTGAGCTTGCTGTACGGTCAGCACCTGAAGCTGCTGTGGAGCATCGCCTGGGTCCTGGTCCAGCTCTGCGAGGATCCCGACACCAGGACGGAGATCCGGAGCTGGGGCGGGGTGCAGCAGCTTCTCCGGCTGCTCAACAAGTTTGCAAAACTGAGCGATTAAAGCGCATTTGATGTTTAAACTACATGATAGGATTGTATTTTTCACAACCACAGTCAAAGTTAAAACAGACTCTCCATTATTAACAAACTTCAAATGCGTTTCAACCAAAACGCTGTTAACACTACCCATCTGTACTTTTCTATCCCTGAAAATTCACTGGACAAAACTGCAGCAGATACTTTTCTGTCTGCGTTGAATTGATTTGTGGTTTTAAAGGGTCACTCCAGCAATTTAGTATTGCAATTCCATAAAGTTGGGAGACTCGCAGTGACAGATTAAAATTAGAATAATCAAAATCTACCCAACAGAAGCCAAGATATGCTGACTTTTAGTCTCTAGTATAGGTCAAGCTCCATAAACAACGGATCCTACATTTCCAATAGGGCAACTTGATAGCAGCTTTCATTGGATTCATTAGTTATCTTACCAGACAGGGAAGGTCTAACAAAAATATGCTGTTTGTTGCATTATGGGAATTGGAGGTTCCAGTGATTTTGGTGCTTGACCCATAAAAAAGTAAGCATATCTCAGCCGCTGCTGCATCAATTTAGACCATTCCTCTTCGAAAAATCTGTCTCATATGAGTCCCCCAACTTCATAGAAGTACAACACTAAACTAAACTCAGAGTATTTGTAAAAGTGAAAAAGGATCAGATGTATACTGCCCAATACCACAAACTTTACCATGATACTGTATATCTGCAGAATGACTTCTGGCCTTCAAAACTACCAGATTTACATTTTAACAGCCAATGATGGAGGATGCGATTACAACTCCGTAACCAGCATCACAATACAGTTCAGTTATGAAGCTTCGTTTTCAGGCAAACACAGATGACAAAGTGCTGTTATTTGCATTAATTAGTATGGTGACGTTCAACATAACTCTCCCAGTGACAGGCAGTACGTCTGTGACCGCTCGTCCATCGAGATGCTCTCCAGCGCCAACGCAGCCGGACGCATTGACAGAGAGCTCATCAGAGAGGAGCTCAGCCCACAGGAGGAGGTGGACAACACTGTGGCCCTGCAGTCAGGTCAGGGACCAAACAACTGACATACTGCACGTAAAAGTGTTTTCTTGAGAGTAAGATTCTGTACTGATAGTGAAACAGGCCCGTGTGCTCGCCGCTGCACAGTAAGCGATTCCCCCAAAGGAGTCTTATCAGTTGCTCAGAATGTAAACAGCTTTTTTCCTGAAGTGAGAATCCAGATCTTTTGATACTTTGGAGGAAATAGATGTACATTTTATTTTTCTGAATGCCTAAAGAAAGGACTATGAAATACAACTAATTAGGGTAAAAAACCCGACATTTTGTTACGTCTGTCCCAATAAGAATCTGTGGAGAAACATTGAATTTTACAGTCTAAAGGCGTCAGTGTTTTTAGTCTTTGTGCTTCCTGTGGTTTGGGGAGTGAGTTATTAATGTTGGACAGTCTGAGACTATAACATTGCATGTATGAGTTCTTAAATTAAGTCGTATCCCCTTTAATCCCTTTCCCAGCCTGCTGCACAGTTCTGACTGAGCTTTGTCTGGATGACACATCTGCTCACCACATTGTGCAGGTAATGCAAACGTCTTTACATGAAGAGCAGGACAGTTGAGAGGCTGGGAATGAATAAGTACAACTTTATATCAGATTACTAGAATATTTTAAAACACTGTGTCAATACATTTTGACGTTCTTTTCTTAGGAAAATGGGGTTTATATCGTCTCAAAGTTGATTTTACCACAAAACTCTGGACCAAAGGTCACATCTTTACAGGTATATGGCTTCAAATATGTTTTAAATTTCCCTATAATGTAAATGTAGAGTTTGAAACTACCTAAATGTAACATTTGTACATTTTTTCTGCACGTAGTGCTATGCGTTTCGGACCCTTCGGTTTCTTTTTAGCGTGGAGAGAAACAGACATCTGTTTAAAAGGTGATGTTACAAGATATTTGTTTTAGAAAGAAAAAAATAATTTCATGCATAATTTGTTTAAATTGAGCTACTGTTGGAAAATGTTCTCCAATGCTGTTATGTAATCTCTTATCCCTTTCAGACTCTTTCCCACAGACCTCTTTGAGTTGTTTATTGATGTTGGACATTATGTACGGGACCTCGCGGCCTACGAGGGACTGCAAACCAAAGTTTCACTCTACACTGTAATAAAAGAGCTTCTAAGTGCATTCATGTGTTTATTCAGCTGGTTTTTGTCGGGCTGTGAAATAAAAAGAAATATTAATGTTCTTTACCTTGCAAATGGATGATGTTCTGTGTGTTTTGTAATGCAGGAAGAGGAACTGGACAGCCTGAGAGAGGGCATCGAGGCTGTGGACCAGAACCGACCTCCCCTTAAAGTCATCAACGGTTACTCCATCCTGGACCATCTGGGCACCGGTGCCTTTGGAAGCGTCTTTAAGGTAAAACGGCAGCGTTGGTTTGCGTCAGTTTTGCTTCTTTGTAACCTCATGCCATCAAGTGTTCTTGGTTTTAATGATTATACTCACATGACAGGTCCGAAAGCAGAGTGGCCAGAACCTCCTGGCTCTGAAGGAAGTGAACCTCCATAACCTGGCGTTTGGCAAAGACAAGAAGTCCAGAGACAGCAACGTGGAGAAAATCATCTCGGAGCTCACGATTGTCAAAGAACAGGCACAAAGTTACACTTTATTATTTAGGCTGCACCAACAAGGATTCATTTTTAAACCTGATTATATCATGGTTTAGCTAAAACCAAAACTAGCTTATAATTAAGAAAGACTTAATTCAAATGTTCTTCTTTAAACTACATTTAATTTAGGTTCGAACTTTGCTTTACTAAACCTTGATTAGTTTGTAATTGTGCAACAGAGCTTTTCTTAATTTCAAATCTAGATTCATTCATTTTAAACCTAGTTTTGCTAAACTCTGATTAGAACTAATCTTTAACATAATCCTTGTTGGTGCAACCCAGCCACAGAGTAAATTTAATAACGTGCTATCCGAGTTATATTTTGTGTTGTTCATGTTTCTTCTTTTCTAGATGACACACCCAAACATTGTTAAATACTACAAGACTTTTTTGGAAGGTGAGGATCATTTCAGACCCCAGCTATTGTGAGAAGGGAACACAACAGAAGTTCAAAGCAGAAAACCCCTCATCATACTCTTCACTTTAGGCGACAAGCTGTACATCGTGATGGAGCTGATCGAGGGAGTGCCGCTGGCTGAACATTTCAACTCTCTCAATGAGAAGCAGCAGAAGTTCACAGAAGACAGACTTTGGAATATATTCATACAGGTAACAACCCTGAAACTTAAATCTTCTTTGAGAAACAGATCTGCACTCGGAGGCATTATGTTTTCATCATAGTTTTTTGGGATCCTGAAATATGTCTCTAGCCCTCATCATGCACTACACAAGCTTTGTACTTTTCTGGTAAATGAGAAGAGGCCGCTGGGTGTAGGCAACATGGAGGGAAGTTCAACATTGTTCGTTTGCTTTTACTTCCCACATTGTAATGATAGCTTGTTGAAAATCAGCAAAGCGTCCCTTTAACATGCAGTAGAACAATCATGTGGGGAACTTCTATATTTGCTGTGGACATTGGTGGAGGAAGTAGTCAGAGCCTTTACTTATGTAGAAGTACTAATACCACAATGTAAAAATACCTCATTGATATAGTACACAGTAAAAATACAGTAAAAGTCCAACATTTCTCATGCATGCTGTGTGATAATAGAAAGTTAAAAGTAAGCTCTAGGATCTCTGTGTCTAAAATGAACACATTGGGAACATGAATTGGTGATGAAGGTTTACTTGAGCTCATCAGAATAGAAAGTTGGGAATCACTGCAGTACAACACTGTTTCCTGTGTACATACTCCTCAAAAGATAAAGTTTTTTTGGTTTCAGCCTGAATGTAACTCAAAATTGGCATTTTGACTGAATGAAAACATCTCCTTCTCTCCAGTCAAGAGTCCTTTTAACAACTTAATTACGAACCGATTTGTCTTCTCTATACTCCCTCAGATGTGTCTGGCATTGAGGTACCTGCACAAGGAAAAGAGAATAGTCCACCGAGACCTCACACCAAACAACATCATGCTGGGGGAAAAGGACAAAGTCACCATCAGTGAGTGTCAACAGTTCATCGCTATCCCCGTCTTGTCTTATAAGAGTTTAACTCCGTGTCTTTCTTCTACTTGAAGCCGACTTTGGCCTAGCGAAGCAGAAACTGGAGAACAGCAAGCTAACGTCAGTGGTCGGCACCATCCTTTACTCCTGGTGAGGACATTTTTACCATTCAGCAGCTTTTAGATTAAATGTTCGGTTTTAAGCAGTAGAGTTTTCATCAGGACTATTTCTCTCTTATTCTTGAGAACCGTTTCTATTAAGATCCGCTTACTGAGAGCATCTTCAATTAAATGCATTTGTCGTTGGTTACATTGAGGGGAGATATCTCAAAGCCTGTGTGGTGAGATAACACCAGGAGGAGGTGAGAAAATGTGTTTTTGGTGAATCAACCCTTTAAGGAGCTGGTTTTCATGTTTCTACAGCCTGTTAGCAGTTTAGAGAAACAGCAAATGCTGCAGTTCAAGTGTGTTTATGGTCCTGACAACAGCTGTGTGTGTGTCTTGCAACATGTTTATGAGGATCAATTCGACTACAAGGACATATTTGGAAGGCAGAGACATATTTCCCGGTCCTCTCTTTGTCAACGAGCTGTTGTTTTAGGGCTGGTGAAGATTAAGTTCAGGTACAGCAGGGTGAATGCGTTGTAAGGATTCCTCTCAAGGTAACGCGTACAAACGTTTGTGTGTGTGTTAGTCCAGAGGTGGTGAAGAACGAGCCGTATGGAGAGAAAGCCGACGTCTGGGCTTTGGGCTGCATCCTCTACCAGATGGCTGCTTTACAGCCTCCGTTCAACAGCAGTAACATGCTGTCGCTGGCCAGCAAGGTTACACACACACACACACACACACTCATACACACACGTGTCAACAAGTTTTTCTCTCGGCCGTCTGTTATCTTTTGCTTCTTATTCTGTGCTGGTAGATTGTCGAGGCCGTCTACGAGCCGATTGAAGAAGGAGCTTTCTCAGAGAGAGTCAAGGACATGATCAGATGGTGAGGCTTTTATTTTGAAATTATGGATATCGATGAAATGAAAAGTCCATTAGTTATACTGTATCCTTAAAGGTTCAACAGTAGCCCTACTACCATTTCACATTACTGGCTGTCATTTCACTATATTGGTGATAACGTATTCATACGGTACTCTGTTCTGTTATGGGACGTCCTGTCAGGTGTTTGTGTCCAGATGCAGACCGGCGGCCGGACATCGTGGCCGTCAGCTCCAGGATCTCCGACCTCATGATGAGGCTGATGGACGGCCTCCACACTTCTCAGAATGCACTGGAACGAAGAGCAGAGAGAGACAGGAAGCGAGCGCAGAAGTACTTCCTGGAGAGGCACAAAAGCAGGACGGACTGCTGTCACTCGAACCCGTCTCAGGTGAATTGGATTTTGAAAAAAGAAAGGAAGTCCTTAAAGGACGATGAAGATTAGATTTATTTATGTTCAATGTGGTTGTTGACATGTAATGAATTGTGAACAACAGACTTCCCTCTTTGCAGTAACTATCAACTTCTGTAATGGCTAGATGCACATTTTTTATTCGACATGAAAGTTTGTAAATATTTTGATATTTTTAGTTTGTCCTGCAGGGTTTTTAAAATACATGCTGCACCTTTTTGCAGGAAAAATCCTTCATGAATACTGAATCTCCAACTCCTCGCTCTCCTGCAACCTGCAGTTCAAACCACAGCTTGCAGAGCATCAGTCAAGGTGACTATTTCTTACTGCACAGAATTTAAGCAACACAGGCTGGGAGAGATTTGAATTAAAAATGATTAAATGTTGTAAATAATTATTGGTGTGTTTTTAGATGATGCCTCAGATGCTGATGTAGAACCATGCGATACCAACATCAACACCACTGCCTTTACGGGGAAACGCTACGGTTAGTTCTCCGTCAGTGAGATAACTTAGAAGAGAATATATGAGAGTATTTATCATGAGGTGGTGGAATGAGTGGATTATATGACAATGGGCCCCTGGACAGACACATACTAAAGGCCCCACCACCTAGGGGGGAGACTCAGACTATAGTTGTTTAGCCTTTTTTTGTGGTCTTTTTGTAGTTTAAATCTTTCTTTGTGGTAACTTTGAGTCTCTTCCTGGTTGGTCTTTTTGAGTTGTTTTGAGTATTTCCATGATAAATAAGTCAACCTGTGAATTATAAACAAGGGGGGGGCAGTCTGGGATTTGAACAGACAGTCTTACTGTTACCTACAAAGCTGGTCTTTTAAAGCTAGAAGTTACTATTGTTTTAGGTTTTTTCAGATAGGTTGATTCACTGTATTTAATTTGGGCTTGTTTTATTTCGATCAAAGAATTAAAGTCCAGTGCCTGCAACACACCGGACCAAATTCAATCTGGGTAAGTGAGAAACCTCACAATCCATTTCTGTGTGGTCAGAGCAAAATGTATATATTGGCCACAGTGTCATCATTTAATTATGCAAAAAGAGAGTTATCTATAAATGGAGGCCAGTTAAAAAGTGTATTCACATTTGACACAGTTTATTAACCTGCCTTTTCAATTTCCCTCTCGTCTCAGTGGTGACTGCGCTGCTGCAAAGATTAGACCAGGTACGTTTTCAGCCTGATTGGAACACAAAAGAGCAGACGTTCTAAAAGTCTTTTATAAAACGCATCCTGTTTATTTAGTGTGTTTGCTTCTGCTCTTACTTCAGTGTCAGCAGGGATCTGCGTCTCCCAGAAGAAGGTTCGGCAGATTGATGATCCCATTCAGAGGCTCCTCGTGCAGCTGCACAACATTATATACATCACTCAGGTAATACAACTATTTGTGTCAGTCCAAATATGGTGATTCTGGTTTTATACACCTGAATTGAATTTTAAGAGGGTCAATAACGTGACTCATTAATTCTGTCACAAATCCATCAAAAACCTAAAAGGTCATCAATCTGCAAAACATTCTGTTTTCATCCTCACATTATGCCGACTCAGGACCGATACTTAAATGTTTGTAAGAAATATAATTCCCCCCCCATCTCCAGCTTCCACCGGCTCCTCATCACAACATTAAACGCCGGGTCATTGAAAGATTTAAAAAGTCTCTGTTCCACTTTGGGAGCGATCCATACGACCTCAAAGTGGAGCTCAGCAAGGTTTGTACGGTCAACTGACCCAAAGATATACATCGTCACATAAAACCAAGAAAAGCTTGAATAGAGATCTCCTTCCTGTTTCCCTGTAGCTCCTCCATGCCTCTCCAGAACTGATGGAGTTCAGCACAAACAGTTCAGACTGGTGTCCTCTGGTCCACCACTTCACTGCTGACAGCACCGGTAAGAGGAACCGTTCCCACAGCTTCACCGTACAGCAAACACAACAACCCCGCAGGCTCTTTGGCACATCTGCTCTTACACAACCTCAAAAGGAAATTATTAATGTGATCTGGTGCGTTTTAGTGCCTTCAGATCTCAAATGATGCACAGCTGTATGTTGAAATTTGAATGCCAAGAATGTACATCTGATTTTCTCTCTCTCTGCTCCTGACAGGTGATGGGAATCTCAAAGATGGAGTCACCTATCAGCAGATGCAGGTCTGTTTTTCTGATAAGGATTTTTGTGGGTTTCCTGTTTTAAGTTTTGAAAAACAAACCATTATGAGATTTTTTCCTCAGTAAAACCTTTTTGGGAAATATGCAAGGTTACTTAAATATAACATATATACCTTTCATAGAACATCTCAAAGTGCTTTAGAAGAATTAACTTTATTACTTTGGTTTTTGAACAGATTAAAACAAATGAGATAGAAAGTGTTCATGAGTGAGATTCTGATGTTACATTCGGACAGAGCCAGGCTAGCTGTTTCCCTTTGCCTCCAGTCTTTATGCTAAGCTAAGCTAACCCGCTGCCGGTTCATAATTGCCGTACAGGAAGTAGAGCGGTATCAATCTTTTCATCCAACTATGTGGCAAGATGGTGAATGAGCGCATTTCCTACACTGGTGAACTATTCCTTCCATGCAATCAAGAATGAATACATATTTTCTTTAATACAAACCACCCGTGTCAATACTGTGGATATGTATTATTCTGTTTTCTCCTGCTGGATCTAGTGTCTCATTTTGGAACAAAATTCTTTAATTTCCGCTTGATGTTCATGTTGGATGTCTGTCTGCCGGTGAAGTGATTTCCTGTACAAAATGCTCCTTTTCAGGGGATCATAGAGGAGCTGCTGGAGGAGAACAACTACTACCAAGCAACACACAAGGTGACATTTCATCGTTCGTCATTAAACGACTGTTTTCCAAAGATAAATCATTATTGCCAAAATGCATTTCATTTTACTGCCAGTTTGTTTGAGAACTTTTGTCATTGTAGTTTATCTTGAGTTATAGAGCTCAGGGTCAGTTTACTGTCGGGGCCCTCAACTCACAACATACAACTGAAATAATTTAAGGATTTAAATTTCTTTATTGGTTTATTTACAGTGATATGAGCTGTTTAAGGGTTACAGAATTATTGGACTAACAGACAAGTTGGCAAGTGGGATTATAGTAAAACATTATAGTAACCAACACTTTTTATAGTATTTCACTGGTAACAAAATTAATCCTGAATTTACTAAATTGAAAACGATCTGCTTTGGTTCAGATGATCATAATCTTTTATACGTTTGTGTGTTCATTTTAGGATCTCAGAGAAAAGAAATGAGCAAGAAAACAAGTGACCGTCGTCTGTTTTCATCCTCAGATGTCACCGAAGCAGCAGGAAAGACAAATTGTTCCTGCGTGGTAACATTTGTATCAGCAGTAATTTATAATTATATACACATGTAAAACTAAGAACATTCTAAGTATTTGTTTGTCTTTAAACTATTTACAATATAACCTATCTATTGTTGTGATAGGGCTGCTGTAACTGACACCATTCTAGGGCTGCAATTAACGATTATTGTCTCAATTATTTTAATATTCGTTGGTCCATAAAATGCCAGAAAACTGTGAAAAATGTTAGTCACAGTTTCCTAAAGCCCAACGCGATGTGTTCAAATCGACCATCTTGTTTGACAAACAATCCAAACTCCAAAGATTTTGAATTGCGTAGATCATTTTTTTGTCGATCAATGGAGCTCTACAGCACACACCTCTTTGGTTCTCAGGCCTTTTATCATTTGTACAAATTTCATGCGACTGTGTGAATCTCCAAAGTCAATTTAATATATGTAAATTGCTTGTGCTTGTATTGAAGTTCGAGGCTAATTTATATTTAGCTGCTCATATCACAGCGAACTGACCTGTAACCAGAGCACACAGAAACGACTTAACCTCCGACAGCATCCAGGGCTTTTTTTATCTGCTCTTTTGTTTTTTTTCAGATATATCCGAGTCTAGCACTTTAAATTCTCAGGACCAGACTCAGCGGTTTGACCGTTTTAATGTTTCAAATGGCTGCGAGCCAAATTTCCTCCAGAGCTGATAAGAACAGTCACCTCAATTCAACATCAATTTTCAAACATATCACAATGTCTGTCTGCAGCTTTACGAGCAGCCAAACAAACATGCACTCTGAGATACTGTTATCATTTTCAATAAGATTAATGTCCGAAATATACTTTTAATCACAGAATGTTTTCACTGTCATTTTGAAGAGTGGAGCCCAGCTGTCGGGGACTTTCGCATGCACTTTCATCCAAAAGGGATTTATCTGTATATGTTTAAGGAATATCTATTTTAAAATTAAATACAAAATAAACTATTTAATGCAGACAATGTCCATGTCATTTATCACGTTAATATAGAGTGGAAGCATTTTGCTGTAAAGTTAATAAACTGAGTGAGTTGAGACAAAAGGTTTGATGTTTATCTATTTACCTTTGTAATAATTCCCATATAATCTACTCTTCTATTTAATTTTCCCTTTATTTATTGTCATTACTGTTGACATTTAAGGACCCAAATGAAGAAAGTCCATTTCAGGGATTTACTGAAAAGAGAAAAAAGAAGCTTACTGGCATTGGCAGCAAGTCCAAACAGAAGTAACTGAGAATCCACAGCAGGCAGGAACAAGTCAGGGTTCAGTGACAGGGTTACAGGGTTACAGGGGTCAGGGGTCAGGGTTCAGGGTTACAGGTCAGAGATTTACAGGTTCAGGTGGCTGCAACACGAACGAGCACGACGCAACACAACAATCTGGCAGCTGACTGAGGAGAAGGGTCTGGTTTATGTACTGACAGGGTGATTGGGTAATGAGACACAGGTGAGCAGGAGGACGGGGGAGTCAGGTGACCAGGATGAGGAAAGAAGTCCGAGTGTATCTAGTGGACAGGTGGAGAATGACAGTAAAGCTTATAGAGATGCAGGGGCTTTGGGGGAGGGGCAGGAGGACGGATCAGAGAGGCAGGATGGGCAAAAACACAATCCATTTCTCATCCTTTAATTTTGGTAATTTGGGAGCAATGATTGAAAGTTACTAAGTACATTTAGTGCTGTACTTGAATATAATTGTAAGGTACTTGTACTTTAATTAAGTATTCCAATTGTCTGCTACTTTACCCTTCTACTCCTCTATAGTTCAGAAGGAAATATTGTACTTTCTATTCCAATACAATTATTTTATAACTGCTTTGCAGATTTACACTAATGATACAAAATATAATCAACAAATACATGACATGTTATTATAGATTAAGATCAGACTTAGTCTTTCTTTGCAGGCACTCACACTGTGGTATTGCTAATTCTACTGTAGTAAAAAAAAAAAGGATACGTGAAAAGCCTTAAAATGAGCTTGTTATTCTTTAAATATTGTATTTCTTTACCGCTGAACAGATAAAGTCAGTGGATGCAATTTTGACTATTAACTGTGCTGTAGTGCAGTTTCCCTGCAGGGGCCACAGGGGGCAGTACGAGCCCGGCTATTGACAGAAGACGAGCTCGCCTCACACAACCTCACAGCTCCACAACATTAAAACATGAACTGCTGTGTCGCCTCAGAAATGACAAAAGCAAGGCAGCTTCAGCAAAAACATGACACAGCAAAATAAAAATCATATACACGAGACTTTAATAGTGCAACAACAACAACAACAAAACATATGAAACGGATGAAATGTTCCAGGTTAAATTGGCAAAATATGTAAAATTCACAAAATATGGAAGACGTTGGCACATCTGGAGTAGGCACGTGAGTTCTTAAAGTACACAGGCTGCTTGCTTTTGTTGCTTACAGTAGATATTTTATACACTTAACTTAAGCATCCTTTCTTGACATTTCTTGAGGCACGAATGTCATTTAAGTTTCTGATGTTAAATATAAAAGCCGCTGTACGTATTGTAACATTTGACTATTTTTCCCATAATCCTTCTTATCCTGTTGCAAGTTTTCTTTCATTTGAATTCGTGTTATTTCTACAGTAAACTGTATTTCACTTCGGCAAAACTAATAGACGGCTATCTGTGATAAGACAATCGCAAACAACAATGTGTTTCAAACAACTTTAAAAACGAGGATGTTTTCATTATTAATATTGAAAATCAAACGTTTCGGTAAACACCCAGGCCTCACAATAACATCTGGGATTAAAACTTTGCATGTAGAATATATGTGAAAGAATAAAGTTGTGTTAGCTTACTTACAGTGGAGCTATATTTGATCCCGACACGTCTGAACCTCACTAATTAACATGTTACGTCTCGTTTGTTTCTTGTTCCATTTGATCCAAACAAAGTGTAAACACAACAGTTTGTGGTTTTACAGGCAGAGTTTTGTGCAGGGACTACTTCTTGTGTCACTGTGAGGTCGCAAAGGAACCAGCGTTCTTAGGCTGCGTCCGAAACCACTTCCTATCTACTATACAGAGCTCTACATTCACCATGCGACATTTCATTTTGTGTGAAATTAGTGGATTTTATAGTGTATACACTACTGTTTGCAAACAATCCAACAATGCAATGTATCACATTTTACGGCTGAACTTTTTGATATTGCAGTAGTAAATAATATTTGCAATATTAGAAGGAATGATCATTTTTACATCATTCTCATTTTCATTGAACAAACATTTTAAAAATGATTATGGAGGGATTCTTTCAGGGATTTGTACCAAACAAAGATGTTCTCTTAAGTCTGTAGAATATGATGGGTAGACAAGGACATATATGTCATTTAAAATGGTATTTTGACACATTTCTCTTAATTGAAATAAGCCAAATATTGCGCCTCCTGCAGTCGGCCATATTGTGAATTTAAATAAAATCAATACATTTTACAGCCCTATCACATTTTACAGAAAACAACCACTGTGTGACGAATCACTTTACTTATTTCAATCATTTCGTTCAGTTAAGTTCAAAGATTCGTCACTGAATATGTTCTCAATTTTTAGTTCCGAGGCTCAGTGGTTTTCTGTACTTCTGTTACATACGTTTGTGAACTTTGTCAATGCCGGTTATGGACATTCACCTTTACGAGTATGAGCTTCTACGTTTCCCTTTTGTGCAGACAAATCTGCTTTTTTCCCACCTCTTCAAATATGGTCAAACAGTTAGTCCAGAGCTTTCTTTTTTACACATATGGAAAACAATACATTGCGTGTACAACCGGTAGGCGTTTTAAGTCCATATGTTTAATAACTCTGCTACTCTAAAGCTAAAGACGTTGTTATTAAATGAGGTAAAAGTAATCCATGCAAGTATAAATACAGTAGAAACCTGTGTGATTCCCGGTGGTTATGAGGTGTCTGCCAGGAAGGGGTTAAAAAAGGAAACTGTGATACATTTTAAAACTTTACTGCATCGTTCTCTTTTTTTTTCCCACTTTGAGGCAGAAATTAGCTTTTTGTTCATCAGCGTAATAACTGAATCTCTTCTTCAAACTGTGATACTGAGGTAAGACACTAGTAGCCCTCTGGGCTGCGTCTTTAGTTTATACTGTTAGCGTTTTTCTCTGGGGAGGGAAGACGGGAGACAATGTTCTTTGAGCGGCTTCAGAGTGAGACATCAGAGGAGTTCATGTGCTGCGAGGAGATGATGTGTGTGTGTGCTGGCTGCTGTTTGCCTCCACTTTGCTCTCCTCGGAGTGTTTCTCCAGGTTCTGCAGATCCTCCAGCATCTCCTCGATCAGAGGGGGCATGGAGCCCGGGATCTCCATCTTCAGCGTCACCACCCTCTCCGCTCCTGTGGAGCAACGAAAGCACACATTAGTGCCAGTTGTTGTCATTACGGAGAGCTGCAAATAAGTTCCCTCGTGTTAAAGTCAAAGAGTGTTTGAATGTTTTTTTTTGGTTCGATGCCTGAAACAAGGTCTGTGGTTAACACACGCAAAAGAAAGTTTCACGTTATGTTCTACGATATAAAACACACGAGTGAATACCCCTCTAAGCATGGGACGATATGAATATTTCATGTCACTATTGTGATTAACGTTATTATCCCGATAATCATCAGAATATGCTTAAAACTCTGAAAATGGCAAATAAAAATAATGGAACCACTTTACTTTAGGTGAAGAAACAAATATTATATATATATATTTTTTTTTGAACATATTTTTTTGTGAAAAACAAACAAACAAATAAGGTAATCATAAATCATATGGTCATGAGGATAAATCAATAAAAAAAAATAGCTACAATCAAACAGCTTTTTGAAGTCACTCTTGTGAGGATATTCACAATAATGTCAATAATGGAAATTCACCACGATCCACTTATTGCCAGTGTTTTTAATTGTGATCCGTGATAAAATCCTATAATGTCTCATCCCTATTACTCTTCTCGTGAATTTTGAGGCTTTTACGTGTCTTAAAAAAGGCTAAATGAGACTTTTAAATAGCATCACGCTAACTAGTCCGCCTTCACAGCCTCTTTGTGTGCATGCGACCATAGTGTAGTTTATTTATAGGCTAACGTTAGCTTTTTACTTCTCTTGATTGCAAAAAACCCTTCGAAAATCATAAAACTGGTATCCATTTGTGAAGATTATCTTGCTGAACGAACAAGTATCGCAAACTTGTGTTTGCTTCAGAGTTTATTTTCTGCAATAATCCAAAAGCCTTTCTGGAGAATGATCCACTAGCAGGGCTTTGCTTTCTGACCTTTGGCGCTGATGCTGCGCAGGTCAGTGATTTTCATGAGGGCTTTGGGGAACATGAGGGGCATGCTGGGCCGCCGTTTGCGGGAGTAAACCTTCAGCGCCTCCAGCAGCGGCTCCTGCAGCACCTCCACCTTAGACGGCTCCTCCAGGTCCTGTCGGTCTGTTCAAACAAACACCAGAGAATATTTAGTTGTTGAAGGAAAAGCTCCCCCCAAACTATAAAAATAAAGGTTGTATATTGTTCCGAGCTTCAGTACCGCCAGAGACGAGACAGATGGCGCTGAGCAGGCCACTCTCTGTGTCGTCCATCTGCAGCGGCAGCAGCTGGCCGGCAAACGTGAAGACCTGATCCGTCAGCGGTCCGAAACCGGCGTTGTGGATCTGAGTGCGGGTCAGGGTCAGCCCGTCGGAGAACGTCATGGTGTCCTTGTCGGGAGTGTAGCGAGTGCAAATCCTCAAGATCTGGATGGAAGAAGAACAGAGCGAGGAAGAGGAGGAGAAAAGAAAGACGGATTTGATGAATGTGTTTAACCTCGGGATAAGTATCAGATCGTGATGCAGGAAGGCTCTGACAAATATTTGAATCAGTTAAAATAAAACTTGAGTTGTCGTCACAAAGTCTCTGTTAGAACACCTGGAAGTCTTGAAGCAGAAAGTTATTTTAGGAAACACACAGACGTACCAGGATGTCCAGGCAGGCGGTTTTGAGCAGAGTGATCTGGTCAGCGATGGTCAGGCCGGTGAAACCGGGCACTCGCTTGGCGAACTCCACCACCTTGATGATGCACTTGGTGGCGAGCTCGCTGAACTTGTCCCACAGCCCGAGGTCCAGCTGGATCCTGTGGTCTGAGCTGGAGTTCTGGATGGAGGAGAAAAGAAGAAGATGTTGTTTGAGATATTTAGCGTTTCAGAACGCCACTTTAAAAAAAGACATGATGTGATCAGAGATGTAAGTCCAACTTCACCACCAAAACACACTATTTTCATTGTGTGATGATGGTGTGCAGACATTTTAAATCCATCTTCACTTGACTCAATAACCACAAAATAATAATCTAACTTTCAAAAGCAGCGTTCATTGTTTTCATTTTGGGGGCCAAAACAAAGACACCTTATAAAGTTGATATGGTGAATGTGTGTTCGCATTCATTTAGCGCCGTGTTTAAGAGATCTGATGAATGTCAGTCCAATATTTAGTCTTTTTTTTTTTTTTACTCTGTTTTGTCTCCATCAACTCCTAAGCATTTTGGCCGTCGCCATCTTGGTTGTTTTTGCAAGGAGTGACCATATTTGGACTGTGGAGGAGTGACGTAGAGACGCCATATATGACTCTGGTAGCAGCAAACACCGCTTTTTGGTATATTTGACTCTAAATGGACCATAATTTATTTATTAATGTATTGAAGAAGACTTGAAACTAGAGATTGAGACCTTAAACTCATGTTGACAATGTTTACTGAGGGAATAAATCAAGTGAGAAATAGGGTCAGGGGTCAAGTCCAATCACTAAAAACAGCATCTTTTTAAGCTCAGTGGATAAAAATTCACAACATTTTCTGCTGTGACTTTTAAAGTCATTGCAATTGAGGATCTTTAACAATAAAAATAAACAAAAAGCATAAATATATAGTAAAACTACTTAAAATATACCTTTTGAGGTATTTCATTGAGGCACATTAAGTGATTTTAGAGTCTTTAAGATAAATCTCAAACCAGGAACAAAAGTTCTTTGGAACATGTCTTTTCTCTTCTTGATTTCACTGATCCAGGAATCGCTCACTTCTGCTGACTCAAACCACAAACATTTGATGCAACAAGCCAAGCGGTTAAGAATGTGTGCAAAGGGCACACCCAGACACATTAATACCATTTGGATTGACTGAGGGAGTTTCTGGCTTTTGTCACGAAGGCACAAGTTATTCCTGTTTATGCTGCACGTGTGTCACAGTTTGAATGTACATCGTGTTCTCTCTGTATTTGTTTTTGTTGAGTCGCAGAAGCCCTGCCCAATTTCTTTTAAATCTGCGTGAGTATACAGTTTCACTAGCAATTACTAACCTTGGTCCCGACTGGTAAATCTGGTGCAGCTGCTATTTGTGACGATTTTCTTCCCCTCAATACATCTGCCTATAAACAGGAATGCTTTTGCCCACATAGACCTGTTTTTTTACCATTTATTACACAGGTTTGGTGCTAAATTTAAACATTTTTGACTTGATAAATATGATCAGAAATCCCTCGAAAAGTCCACATTAAGAGACCAAGACCCTGAGGAACTCCATAGAAAGAGTCATGCTATGATGTGGTGTCAACACCTTTTGAAATTTGGAGATTTCTGCGAGAATTGTTTTTTTCGTTGATTGGAGGGCGAGCACTTCTGTTCTGGAAGCTGCTCAGAAACACCTTTTATTGTCAATATACCTAGTAAAGCCTCACATCTCCTGTTTAGGGACCCTAGCATGCAGAAATATTAAAATAAACCATTTTTAAATGAGGTGAAAATAACACATTTATACTGCATGCAAAAAACTGTAAAGGGGAGACTCGTGAGTAACATAGAACACATTTCCATTCACAAAAGTCCTCTTTATAAATCTATTACTTGCTTTAAGGCCTTTTCACAAAAATATAGAATATTCATTGACAGTTTGCACCGAGGCCGACGTGAATATTCACAGTCATTGGTTCATCGTTTTCACGATAATAAAGACACACTCAACTCTCCACACTGGAGCTCATTACTACAATACTGCAAATACTGCGTAGAAAAGTTACAGCGTGGTCACATTTCCTGTTGGTGGCGCCAAAGAAGCATGTTGTTGAAACGAGTGTAAACGCTGAGCTTCATTGCACTGGTTTCTATCATTCATGGCTGGACTGAACAGAGTGTGAATGTGTTTATTAAATGTAGAACATGGACTTTACTACAAGGCCTAGCGGTCAGATTATAAGGAAGACAGAGAGCTGATGTGGTAAATTAATGGACTGCACCTATATAGAGACCATTAAGAGAGCCTTACAACACGAGCCAGCATTCACCCTTTCACCCACACACATTCACGCACTGGTGACAGACGCTGCCATAAGGTGCCACGTGCTCATTAGCTGCAATAATGACTCACAAGCAAACTCACGTGCAATTTCAGGTTCGTTATGTTGCGCAACTACACTGTGAGATGTAGACTGCATGGGTCAAATGCTTCCACTAATAATAATGATAATAATAAAAAAGACTATTACGTACAATGATAAATAATAAATAAAATAATAAATAATTGATGTTATGCTATCACTTGTACTATATGGTCTGGTTTTAAAGCATACCTTTCACAACGACTACATTCTTGACACTTATAGGCGGAGTTGCACCAAATATAATTGATTTGATCGAAGAAGAGCTCTAATCAGAGTTTATCAAAGCTAGGTTGAGAATGAGTAAATCCAGATCTGAAACTAAGCTGATCGCTGTTTCTTAAAATCAAATACAGTTTAATCAATATGGAGATGCTTGCTTACCCAAATTAAAATAAATAAGTATATTTGTGTGCTGTCTGGACCTAGTTATTAGACTTTAAAAGAAAGGGAACCGTTAACTTTCGGCTGCTCTGTATTCCTTAACGACACGTGACATTGTTTGCCAGCTAACGAGCTAAAAAGTTCGGCAAAGAAGCTCTAATTTCTTGCAATATGGCCGAATAATAGAAGATTTAAAAAAACAGATTCTGAACAGAATTATGACATTAAAATCCGAAAATAACTATTGATCAAAAAATTCACTATTTTATTAGCTGGTTTGTTTTTATCTGCATCCTCTTTTTTTAATGGACGTGTGATATATTTGGTCTGAAAAGACCTTTATACAGCAATGTTTAAAGACAATTCAGCCACTTCCACGTATATTTCCTGTTGTGTTTTATCTTCTGTTGGCAGCCACAACATAAATATCTGTTAAATTCATGCAATCCTTCAACTATTAACCACAAAATACTTCTAAATCAGATGAAGCACTGGCTTGAGATGACAGCTTTGCAGATTATTTTCTCTCTGCAGAGGAACATTTTTGTCACGTCGTGACTCACTGTGGTGTATTTTCCCAGCTGGCAGAGAGAGGGGAAGGTCTCTCTGTGAGCCCTGCAGATCTTCTCCACTATCAGGCCGAGCTCCGCCGTCAGCTCGTACGTCTCCATGATGGTCATCTTCACCGCCTCCTTCTTCCCCTTCCTGCTGTTTCTGTCGTTTCTCACTGCTGAAGAAGAGAAGGACGAACGTTATAAGATGTTTAAATGAATAACTAAAATGGATTCAAACAGTCCGACGGTGCTTGATTTAGAACTCTGAACCTTTTGGCTTTTTGATGTTAATTCCTTCTTGAATTTAACTTGCATGTGTTTTCACATTGACATTGTAAATGGGCTTCACAAGCATTTCCATGACACTCCAGTGTTTGATCTTGAAAATACAAGATACTCGTCTGTAGTCCACACAATTCAGAAAACACAAAGATGTTGTTGAACGTGATAGAAAACAGTGATCTGTACAACAATCCTATTCAAAAGGCGATAGGGTGCACTTTTGGAAAAAACATATATATATATATATACATATATATATACATATACATATACATATACACATATATATATATACATATACATATACATACATATATATATATATATA